AGAGAGAGAGAGAGAGAGAGAGTCGGGGAGCTCTTGGTCCCTGGACTGATTGCTGGGATTCCAGCATGGGACTGATCTAGAACCCAGGAACTTGGGTTTCAGTGAGGAAACCTTGAAAATCTACGGGACCTCCTGTAGTAGTTCAGTACTTATCCCTAGCATAGGTGTAGACTTTGGGAGCCCAATCCACATAGAGGTATACACCCTGAGCCAAGGGAGTGGGCCTAGGCCCTATCCCAAAGGATATGATAGACTCTGATGACACCCTATGGAAGGCCTCAACCTCCAGGGGGAGCAGAAAGGATATATGATAGGTAGGGTTTTTAGGTAGGGGGGGGTTGTAGGGGAGAAGGGGAGGGAGAGGGAACTGGGATTGACATGTAAAACAATCTTGTTTCTAATACAAATTTTTTTAAAAAAAGGGGGAAAAAAAAGAGAGAAAGTCTGTGAAGTTGGACCTTGCCTAGTGGAGAAACATAGCCACCACCTGAATTAGAATAGAAACTAAGTGAACTTTCTGCCCACTGTGTGCTTTGCTAGCTTGGTTTGGATAGTGGTACACCCTTTTTGCAAAAAGCAATTGGCTCCTTGAGATACTTACTTTGTTCCATGATCCCTACACTGAGATTATTCTTTAATTTTAAAACACAGAAGACAGACATCATAAATTAACATTCATACTTATTTATAAAGTATATTTAAAATGGACTTAATTATGTCATTTGGTAATGATTAGATTATAACACACTACTGTTGAACGTTTTACCTACTATTTCAATAAGAACAAATACTTTAAATGCCTTTGAGTCCCTGAAATCAGCCTCCACATTATGAGTTAATCTAGTTTAACCATCTTTCCACTCAAATACATTTCTACAGTTTTGGATTAAAAGAGTATTTGTGGGGCTGGTGAGATTGTTCAGAGGGAAAAGGTGCCAAGCCTGACAACCTAGTTTGATACCTAGGACACATATGGTGGAGAGAACAGACTCCCCACTAGTTGCCCTCTGAGTTCCATAGGAGTGAGGTGGCAAACATCCATTCATCCTTCCCAAAGGCACACAAAATATGTTAAAAAAAATTTAGGAAGCTAAGCATGGTGGCACACACCTCTGAGTTCAACAGAGGCAAGAGGATCTCTCTGAGTTTGAGGCCAGCCTAATTTATATAGTGAATTCTAGGCCAGCCAGGATTACATATTGAAATCCCGTTTCAACAGTATGAACAAAAGCTGTAAATGTGCTTGGGAGGTTTGGCTTATTGATAAACTCCATTTTAGGCTTAAAAGCCATCCTATAGTAAAGACAAACTAGGTTCATTTTTATTTATGACTAAACCTTAACTACAAATGGTTCTGTACTGCCTATTTCTTGCCTTTGTTTTAGGAGATTGTTATGCTCACCTTGCAACCATGTCTTTATTTCAGGAGGTTTTTTTTTTTTATTATTTGAATTAGAAACAAGATTGTTTCACATGTCAATCCCAGTTCCCTTCACCCTCTCCTAT